AGTGGGCAAATTATTAACATAACCTTCTGTGCTGCACTCAAAAAGACCTTATAGAGAGAGAAGATTCAGCTGTGGGAGGAACGACGACTACCCTGTTTTCTAGCTCTGAAAAGATCAGTGGAAGTGCTTTCCCCTTGAATTCAGCCTTGGCTCCTTTGTGAATTTGTAACTCTTAATTATGGCGTGTAGAACAAAGCATTTGTTAAGTAAATTAATAGGAAACAGCCCTGCTCTTACAGGCATCAAGATTCACAGTATACAGTACATTTTGGTTTTTAGTTTTTAATAGGACAAGGGATCTATCTTCCCCGATATTGCCACTTGACATTCAAGGCTTGAATGGCCCAAACAATCATCCGGATCTATGTATAGCAAGTGTTCAATTGCTTTTTAAACAAAAGGACATCTCAAGCACTTGAACTGCAGGGTACAGTGTGTTTTCACTGTTGTGTGTTCTGATTTGAATGATACACTACACGAGGAGGAAGAAGGCAGGTGCAGCTCACACTGCTGTGTTCCTGTTCATGCTCGAGTTCGTGCAAATGTTTAACCACAAACGTGACAGAAGTGTACAAAATATTCACTAGATTTTGAAATCTGGCAAATGTCCAGGGCTTGCTTGTTGAGAGAAAGCTTCACTGGAGGAGAGAGCCCAAACTGTCTATGATGCAAGGAGCATGCATGTTTCTGAGTACGTAAAAAGCAACTGTGCAAAAGCCTCAGAACCATGGGATGGGATTGAAAAATAAACGTTTCTGGTTTTTTTCTCTCCCTGCCAGTGCTCCTGACCCCACTTTCTGAAGCTGCTATTACCATTTCAAAGGAAGCTCCATTGAAATCTACATTTGTCAGGTGCTGAGTATAATGTAGGCTCGCCATCTCTTTGTTCCTGGAAGAGATGCTGTGTCTTCAACAAGTAACAAAAGACAGAACTTCAAACAGGTGGTGCAGTGAGGATCTCTACCCATTGTGAATTCCCCTAAATCTTATACAGCTTTGATCAGACACTGCACCACACAGTAGCAGGTCTTCCTGCAGATTAGGTAAGGTCTCAGAATGAGGTTTTTTTCTTTAAGATGCAAAGAAGACTGTGAAGAAAAGGCATGCTGAGCTGAAGTTTTATTCCAATGAATGCATGCTTAGATTAGGGGTAGTGAACTTTTTTCAGCCAGAGGGCTGCATGCCAGAGACAAAAGTGGGCAGAACATTGCACTGGACATTGCACATTCTGCTGATGGGATGTGGGTTTCCATTGTAAAAACAGCTCTTTTTGCTGGGGGGTTGGACTAGTTTAACCTCGGGGTCCCGTGCAGCTCTACAATTCTATGATTATCGTGTCTAGATGTGTCATTAAATGTGTCTTGGCATTGAAGTTTTCATGTATGTGCAGACAGCATCAGCAAGAAGGATACAGTGGTACCTTGTGTTACATACGCTTCAGGTTACAGACTCCACTAACCCAGAAATATTACCTTGGGTTACGAACTTTGCTTCAGGATGAGAACAGAAATCGCGCAGCAGCAGCGCGGCGGCAGCAGGAGGCCCCATTAGCTAAAGTGGTGCTTCAGGTTAAGAACAGTTTCAGGTTAAGAACAGACCTCCAGAATGAATTAAGTTCTTAACCCAAGGTACCACTGTATTTATGAAGGACACAGAAGGCATGGAGAGGCAATTTAACTATTTCCTCCCATGCTGCAGGCCCTAAGGACTACTGCTCTTCTGAGGTCAATTCCTAATTTGCTTTGGAAAGAGCCTCCTCTGTTAACATTTGGATTTCCTATCAATGCAAATAGCAATTTCAAAGGGGTGCTTTTCATAAGGACCACAACAGGTGTGGAAAGGGTTGAACTCTCCATCTGCCGTGGCCCCGATTATTGTCAACTGCCCCAATGGATGCTATTTGCATTTAAAACAACAACAGCACGCCAGCACTCTGGATACAAAGATACATTTAACACCACGTCAAGCTTGCCCTTAGAAATGCTTGTAAGGAAAAAGAAAAAGAAAACCTTTTGGAGCAGCACTATAATCTCCATCTGTTACTGCTATTCAGAGACTGTGCATAAGATGAGTTATTTCCACTATGCTAACACATATATCTGTCTGACCAGCAGCTTAATTTTAGCACGTATTCTGTAAAAGTGTTCCATTTATTTATTCGATATAAAAATTCTGTCAATGTTCTACTTCTGCCTGTGTCTCCACCTGTTCATGAAGATCCACAAATACCATTTGGACACAATTTCAGATGCAATGTTCAGAACTGGGCTCTATCAGTACTTGACATCCTGATCTGATGTAATTTGTTGCAGTCTGAATCACTAGTGGGAACAAGCAGGCACAACAGGTCAATCAGTAAAACAGACAGTTGGCCGACCTGTATCTTCTCAAAAACTAGCAACTACGTATTTAGTAAACTAGGAACAATTGAAATAGCATGTATGCACAACTGCAGCATCAACCTCAGAACATCTGTGGGTCCTTGTGCTTTGGTTCAGGCTGAGACTAATAATGGCAATTGAACTGATTTTCAGGGTCAGCTCAGCCTCTACAGCTCACTGTTCCATTAGCAAACTCTTGTCTGTTTCCCGCATTATACAGTAACAAGTGTACACTTGAAAGGGAAGTGTACACCCAAAAAAGCATACTAAGGGATTCTTACAGCTGTGGCAAACAGAGGAGTAGATCACAGTATACAGAACAGCAACACAACAAAACAGCCAAAACAGCAAAAACATAACAAAAAGGACTTGCTGTTGATAAGTGTTCACTTTAGAAAAAATTCCATTGTGTGGGAATCCTTAAAATCACGGAGTTTACAAAATGTGGTTGCCAATTCCACACACTTAACAAAGCATAAGTCTTTGGAGATCTCTGGGGCACAAGCTACGTGAATGAATCTTCCCTGAAGAGGAGTTCCAAGTTTGCAAGTAGTTGCTTCCCATTGCTTGCCTTCCTCCCATAGAGTGCAGATGGCATTGAACTTGGATTGTCAGAAGACACTAAGAAATGCCCTGCCTGATCACGACAAAGGTCCCACCTGGTCTAGCATCCTGTTCTCAGTGGCCCACCAGATGCCTAGGGGATATTTGCAAGCAGGTCCTGAAGGCAATAGTATTTTCTTCACTTGTGACTTCCAGCAACTGGCACACAGAGTCATACTGCTTCTGGCACTGGGGGTAGAACATAGCCATTGATAATCCTATCCTACATGAATTTGTATAATCCTCTGTCAGAGTTGTACTGTGCTGAAGCCTTCTGTATTGTGTCACAGCATTTAAAGATAAGTTGCAGGGCAGGCAGATTTCAGTGAAATAGTTTTGGCTGCATTGCACATCTCTATTAGGTATTTGGCATTATTATTATTATTATTATTAGTTGTATACCAACCTATACCCGCAGGTCTCAGGGCAGTTCACAGGATAAAATCACAATATATAAACACAAAATGCATAATCAAAATAAAAACAAAAGCAACCCAATAACGCACACCCCCAAATACATTTTGAAGGGGCATTGGATGACATCAGCTGTTTCGGAATAATAATGGGGTAAACGGTGTTCTCTCTCCACCTCCCCATAGCTCCTTTCCTGTTTCTGTCAGCTGTTGATATTTCTAGAGCACATTGCCAGAATGTGGTACTAAGGCTATGAAGATTATCTTTGATGACAAGACAAGTGATAGAGCAACTATTCTAATGTTTGTTGGCTATTCTGAAAGCTCAGTAAATAACTTTAGGCTTCAGCTACTTTGTCAACCTACTTTGTCAGATGTGTGAAGTGTTGTCCTCAATTGGCAGGGGGGTGTGGGTGTGTGGAACCTAATGTCACATTTCCTCCTGGGCAACCAGTCATGGACAGAGCCAGAGGCAAATGCGAACAGGACAACAAATGTAAATCTGACCCTTATATAATAAGCTAGTTTCTGCACAGTCAAACACCGCTCTCCAACCTCCATCCAGACAAGCAAGAGATATTATCAGAGCTTGAGGAGACATTTCTCCAAGGCAAATCTGCTCAAGGAGAATGTGAAGAAGGGTCAGTGAGGGATGTGGCCGAGGAGAGTTTGTGGCCACATAGACAGGAGCCTGCCTGGTATCAATGGGCAGTGTAAGTGTTGCCTCACCAAAGGATAAATTTCTTGAAAAGTTCAAACATGGCACTTCTAAAAATGCTGGTTCTACTACAGATTTAAGTAGTCCAGACGGCACATGTGATGTGAGGCAATCCTTCAAGTAAATTGACAAAGAGGTCAGAGGGCAATGAGATGCAGAAAACTACAGCCATGGTGTTTATGTAATTAACGGCTGTTGTTCACAACAAACATTTGTGCTGGTATTGCAGACATCCTAACATGATAAGCCGTTGAGTAAGTATAGTGTGGTAAATTCATGGAGTCCGTTCATTCCACAAGTGATAGCACTGAACTTCTTGGTATATTGCAATTCAGTGGTTTCATGGTGTTTTCGGCAATTGCCCTGCTCATTTGAGCAGCAGACTGGGGAAGTGTAAGGCTGGCGTGGGTGCCTCACTCCGTTTTCACAAAAGTTCTTCGATCGTGGTGATTTCTTGGCATTTTGGCACCTTCCCAGCCCTCTCCCCTCTGAAAACATCAGTAAATGTTTTTTGATGCCAAAGCGTGAGTCAGTGTCAAATTAATTTGTAATTGCACACTCTACAATGCAGAGAGAGAGGCAGAACGATTAGTCACCTCCTTTTCTGTCAAATACAACTGAATATGTAGTGAAAGAAGTCCATTAAAAAATGTGGGCATTGCAGCTAACAGAGTCTGATGCAGCTTGCCCTAACCCTACCCTCACGGTGCCCTTTTCACGTTTCATTTCTGCTACCACCGAAATTCCTTCCTTTGAAATGCTTGTTCCTAATCCCAAACAACTCCAGTGAGTCAGGTCATGAAGGAGACAGATCACTGTTATTAGGAACATGTTTATTTATAACAAGCAATGAGACAACAAGATGTGACAAGCTGCACTTTACCGAAGGTCTAATGTATTGCCTCGGGTGAGTTACGAGGCACAGGATGGAGCGCAGAGGCCTTTCATTTCCTTGCCGCCACCCCAAAAATGCAGGAAGCTTTTAGAAAAGGTGTTGCCATTAACATCTGCTGCTGTGATTGGCTGTAAACAATATTAGAACACGTTTGTTCCTCCTTGTGATGTCAGGAATGGCACAGTACTGGAATCTAAGGAAATGGAAGCACAGGCAAAAGGTAAAGGACGCCTGGACAGTTAAGTCCTGTTAAAGGCGACTATGGGGTTGCGGCGCTCATCTTGCTTCAGGTCGAGGAAGCTGCCGTTTGTCCACAGACAGTTTTCTGGGCCATGTGGCCAGCATGACTAAACTACTACTGGCGCATGGAGGACCATGACGAGGGCCAGAGCACATGGAAATGCCGTTTACCTTCCCGCCGCAACAGTACCTATTTATCTACTTGCACTGGCATGCTTTCAAACTGCTAGGTGGGCAGGAGCTGGGATAGAGCAACGGGAGCTCACCCCGTCGCAGGGATTCGAACCGCCGATGTTCCGATCAGCAAGCCCAAGAGGCTCAGTGGTTTAGACCATAGCACCACCCACATCCCAAAATGGAAGCATAGGGACCTGTCTTACACTGAGTCACACCATTGATCCATATAACTCTGTAGGGTTTTTTGAAGTCCCACCCCATCAAGTCGTGTATAAATTTTATGAAATAATAAATTATTATTATTATTATTATTATTATTATTATTATTACACTGACTGGCAGCAGCTCTCCATATTTTCTGGCTGGAGACATGTCAGAGGCTTAATACTGTCAAGTTGGCATAGATAAGACTCCGGGCTCCCAGCCAGTTCCAAACTATTTGATTTATTTGGCAAAGTTCAAACGTACATCTCCAGCGTTTCAATTAGCGTCCTTCCCCTTGTTGCGCAGTTGCCGCCTCTAAACTTTCTTCTTCCTTTTCTACACCCAGCATGAAAGTCTACGAAAACTCCTCCCCTGACTTCCTCTGTGTACAGAATGACTTGTTCCAGGCTCTTCCTCCTCCCCCTCTACGTCAGACCCACTGTCAGATGACAAGCTGCTGATAATCTCTTTAGGCTCTCTATAACTGCTGGTTTCTGTCCTTTCATCTTTTCCCGTTTGCCTCTCCCTGACAAGCCATTCCCAACCCTACCCTGCTGGGGATTGAACCCAACCCTTCCCCTTGCAAAACAGATGCTCTGCCACTAAGGGCCATGTGACATTTTGGTGGATCCACCCTTCACATTTGAAAAAACAAATATTTTATGTACGTATGCTATTTACAATCAATCTGACGCCAATGCACACACACGTGCACACACACACACACACACAAGAGTAAAGACAAACACGAAGTTTCTGCTACATAGCTGGACAGGACACACAGATCTTAGTCTGACGGTCACATGCCACGTTTTTAGGTATATGGTAAACGTCACAGGTCTACACTGAAAACATTTCAGGTAACACGCAGCCAACATGGAACTGGAAACATGTATAATACAGGTGTACTTCTCAGAGAGGCCCAAAGGATATATATTCAATGGGCTCTCATCATTCGCCTTTTTATAGCCATGGGAGCACTATGGGTTGAAGTCACAGGCCAGGCTGCCCAGCCCCGCCCTCACCAGCTACACATTGAGCATTAAGAAGAAAAGGATGCTATGTGTGCAGGGCAATCAGGATTTGTTTTTTTGCAAGAAATTATGGTTTCATTTCCAGAAGTATGGAGGGCTGCACAGCGAACCTTTCTTTCTAATTTGGGTGGTACCAGGGGCATGGCCAGTGGCACATCAGAATCAGGGATATGGCCAGCGCGCATGACCATACTCTTCACTCACGCACTCAGTGAATGCACAAGGAGCTGAACTGTGTATGAGCTCCTCTATCAAGTGCATCAGCTCCTTGTTGAGAATATATTGTTGAGTATATACTCAGTGGCATCACAGGTTTTCCTTATCATCATCATCATCATCATCATCATCACCACTGTGTAATGTGTGAAATGGCATTAAGCAGAACATATCCATTGTCGCCCACCAACAAGGAGCTTGTGAAAGTGACTTAGTCAGCGTTCATAGGACCGTGAAAAGCAAAGGCATGCATTCTAACATTATGAGGGGCACATCACAGGAGTTTGTTCCAAGAGGATCTCAGAAAAGCCTTTGCTAATTTGCCTGCGTTGATTGTCATACAGGCATGCAGGGTTTCATTTGTTTATTTCCTATTTGCAGCTGCCCTTAGAACAACAGTGACAACCTGAAAAGGCCCTATTAAGTTCAACAACAATCTGGAAAACCAAACCACTTACTTTCTATTCCTCCTCATCGCAATGTCTTTGTTTCTATTCTGTACAATTCATTTTTCTGACTTTGTAAAAAAAAAAGACTGATGGGGTTTCTTCAGCAAGTAGGCACACTTTTTTTAGTTTATGATTTAGTTTTTTAACATTTATGTCTTGCATTGAGTTTTCATTGGGTTCTGGTTGCCCCAGATTCCTCCCAATTACTTCCCTCCTCAGATCTCCCACAACATTCATTCCTCTCCAGATCCTCTTCAATTAATTATCCCCACACACCCACACAAAAAAACAACATCCCAGTGTTCTTTTCCTTACTCACACCAGGATTGTATTTCTTCATACTTTAGCCCTACAGCCAAATATTTAGCTAGTTCTTTGAATACAATCGTGATTTCTTATCTCTGTAATTGTCTCTTGGCTCTTTCCTTAGCCCATTGTCTTTTTCTTCTTGGATTTGACTTCTGGCCATTTCCCTCCTTCCCCTCATTCCTCTGGACGTTTCCCTCTCCCAAACCCCAAGTCCAGTTTCCAAAAATTCCTCCCCTGCTTTGACTTGTAACTTCCCCAAGTTTTACTGGGCATCTCCTACTTTTCAAGTCCTGTGCTCTCTTGGATAAGAGGAATTTGGTCAATGGCAGCCAGAGGCCCTTAAGCCCAGAGCAGCCAGAGGCCCTTAAGCCCAGAGCAGTCCTAGATTCTTCTGCTCCTCCTTTCTTACATCAGCCAATCGTTAACAGAAACTTCAGTGCCACTGCCACAAATGTTATTACCTAAGGCTGTTATAATATATATTTGCATTACTTCCGGGTTTCAATCCAGAGATACCCAAGCAAGAAAGGACACCGTAACAAAGCCAGCCACATGATTAGTGATAGAGGCACAATAGTAACTGCATCCGGATCCAGAGTTAAATAGCCATTTGCAATGGAGCCAAGGAATCAGTCTTATGAGTCACAATATGTCTTGTTTGCTCTCCCAAGATGGCACCCTGCTCTGAGATGTTTCAGAAATTAGTAGCAAATGCTTGCAATAGTGTTTCTATATAATTAGTATGACGTACAAATTCACTGTTGTTGTTGGAATCTGATTGGATTTAATCTATGATGAAAATGAAGACAGGATGTATGAAACTGTTCAAATTCTGACTCTAGGACAACTCTGTCTTCTACCAGTCTTTTGTTCAGACCAGTTTTGATTTTGGAAATAAGATAAATGTGTACACATGATGCCTACATCCTGTGCTCTTTTAAAACAAAGTGTTGCCCTGTATCTATTTAGTGCTTTACTTGATATATTTATATAAATAACTAACTCCGGGCTCAGGGGAACAGCTGGAAAGGCTGAAATAGTCTTAATCTGTATAGTCTTTAAAAGGCCAGTACAGAAAGAATTAAGTTTGTAAAATCCAGGAATGATTTGATTGCACCCAAAATTATTTGGGAGACAGTTTAACCCCACGTCACTCTGACTAATGCCAGCTGCTGGACACTAGGAAAGCAGTTCTTAAGTACTTGAAATAAAGGATGCAGCTGACATGACATGATGCCAGTATTGCAGCCAAGCTGCAGCAGTGAGGAAATCAAATGCATCCAATCTGATGAGAGGAGTAAAAAAAGCTTATATCCACAACTAACATTAGCTATTAGTAGGTTGAATGTTTCAAATGTAAACCCCACCCCCACTGGTTTTAATTTATCTATGTTTTTGTTTGTTTATAAGCTGCTTTGGGTGGCTTTGGGGAAGATAATGTGAGTAACAAATTTAAATAATAATAATAAATAATAGCCTCAGTGGAATCAGGATTGCACTTTAATACATTGAGCATTTATCTTCATTTGTTTGCAGGGATATTGGAGATCACCATTGGCTACTAAATGAGCATTCAGTCTGAACTGAATCAAAGAATACTTTCTCCCTCATTAGTACATTTCACCTTGAGACAACAAGGTCCAGAGTGTGGCCCAGGCATCCCCAGCCTTCGGCCCTCCAGATGTTTTGGACTACAGTTCCCATCATCCCTGACCATTGGTCCTGTTAGCTAGGGATCATGGGAGTTGTAGGCCAAAACATCTGGAGGGCCACAGATTGGGGGTGCCTGGTGTGGCCTGACACATGCTTTGGAGCAGTGACATGTTGGGAGAGCCCCACAGCCGTCATGGCAGCCATGAATTCCTGAGCCACCCCAGAGCCAGTTGCCTTGGCATGGATGTTGAACTCCCCAAAACCAGCAGCCTGGAAGTCCTCAACACCACCTCTGAGACCAGCTCTATTAGCTCAGGCAGGGAGACTGCTGGACAGCAAGGTGGTAAACCAGCAGAAAATCTAATCTGTCCCAACTGCCCAATGCCAAACATACACTCGAGATACCCCCACAACTGGACAGAGAGCCTGGAGAGAGAGAGAATCTCCACAGATCACTGCAACTCCCCCTCCTCCACCCTCAAGTCTGCCCTGATGCTGCACCAAGTACACAAGTGGGCACAGCTGGGTAAGACCAACTCCACCCTGCTCACCCACCCAGGTCTCAGTGATACAGACCAGATCGGCTGCCTCATTCAATGACTCAGTTCCCTGCCCAGAGTAGTATATAATTAGTAAATGACAGTATGTATTGGAAGCAAGGGAACACTTAGCTACTTTAAATCAATTCAAATCTCCAGGGCCTGATGAGCTGCACCCAAGGATACTAGAGGAGCTTGCGGGTGTAACTGCAGAGCCTCTACCTTTGAGAATTTGTAGGCAACAGGTCAGGTCCCTGCAGACAGGAGGCAGGCAATTGTTGTCCCCATCTTCAAAAAGGGGAAAAAAGAAGACCCAGGTAACTACCAACTGGTGAGCTTGACATCAATACCAGGAAAGGTCCTAGAACAGGT